GAATATCCAGGAGATTTTGATTCCCCGACTGTAGTGCCCTTGGGGGGAACATGTGGGGAGAGGCGGTCCCTTAGGTAAGCCGGACCCTGACAGCAACAGGTTTTGTGGACGAGAGGGGGTGATATTCGGCTCTGTCACAACACCTTTTATCCCTCCCTCCTCTCCTTTCTGCATCACCCTTCCTTGGCCCTTTTATTGACTCTTGCCTCTGTCCTTCATGGGAATTCCCCGGGCCCAGGGCAGACCGCTCCCTTGGATCCCACAGGAACCCACCATCAGATTCTCCTTCAGTGGGGCAAGTCCTTCAAACTGGTTAGGTCACGCCGCCTCTCGCTCCAGGCAGGGCTATGTAAATTTGTGTGGACTCTATTGGCTTAGAGTGAGGCTGACCCTCCAGTTTTAATGGACCTGCCGCTCCAGCAAGATGCCTGAGCCTAGCCCTGCTTTCCTGAAGACTCTGGCCTTATACGGAAGATGGAAAAGCCTTGAAGGAAGGCCCCATCATCAGTCTTCAAAGAAGAGACCTTTAAGACAAGCCTCTCCCACCTGTTAGACATAGCCTGTGTCCCTAGCTGTGTTTTCCCCAACCCAATTTGAGAAAAACACACGCGGCAGTTCTGTAGAGAGGAAAACACTGAAATATTTATTAATTAAGAAAGGAAGAGTACAGATATCAAGGTCTGGAACCCCTGAATACCCAACAGACTCTTCAAGTGTTACAAAGAGTGACATGGAATTTTATACTCTGTGTGTGACATAAGCAAGCAAAATATTGCTATTGGTTCCATCAAACATCAGCACTCTGACCTCACAGGTCTCTGATTGGCAGAAAGCCTTTTGGGGCGGGCTTTCCCAAGTACAGTCCATTCTACCTTTTACCCTTTAACAGACAATGGGCGCTTCTCTCACCCAGATTGTGAAGTTCTAAAAGTATCTATTTGACTTAATATCAGAAAGGGTGTCTTTGTTCACCATTTAGCTAGGCTAGCTGATATCAGAAATATGTTCTGGTTATAGCTAAAATGCAAGGCCAATGAATCCTGTCTATGGGTTAAAGGTTCCCTTGCTCGAAAGCCAGTCGAATCCGACTCTAAGGTTGTGGTGCTCATCTCCATTTCAACACTAGAGATAACTTCTGCAAGGAGGATTTCTGAATTAGGGGCTTTATTGTCCAGGACGGAACTGTGCATATTTCACAAGATCTCGGTGGTTCTCAGGAGGGATCATTCCTTTGTGCCAAAGGTTTTTTCCTTTCTCACATTAACCACGAGTTGATACTACCACCTTTTTGTCCTAGACCGTGTTACCCCAACGAGTCTGGCACAAACTAGACGTGTTCAGAGCTCTGTGTGCCTCCTTCATAGGACGGCGCAGATTAGGCTAAAGGATTTTCTGTCTGTGTCTCACAGCTCAGCCTTTAGGTAAAAGAGGTCTCCAGCCATGTTATCTGAGAGACACATGAAGTGCAAGCCTTAGGACCTCCAAAGGATGTTACGGCCCACTACACCAGATCTCCAGTAACAAAGTGACCTTTTCCCACCAGCACTCTAGGGGAAGAAATCATTAGTCCACCACAAATCTTGGTCCACCTTTTGTACCTGTGTGAGACACTACAGATGGGACCAGTTAAAATCAGCAGAAGCTTCATCTGGTAGAAAGGTGTGCACGGGCCCCTAGCTACCGCAGCCCCCCCACACGGTTTTTACGGGCCCCCTCCCCAATCCTCGGCTCCCCCCCGTCACTGCCCTCAACCCAGCAGCAGGTGGGGACGCCTGCTGCTGCCACCCCAGCCGTCCTTGCTGCCGCCGCCCACCGCACCTCACTCCTGGGTGCCTGCCTCCCTCCCTGCCACAGCCAGCCGGGCTTCCATGAGGAGGAGGCACCCCGCTCTCTCCCCCTGCCCAGCCTCTGCCGCTGAAGACATAAGAACATAAGAGAAGCCAATTTTGGATCAGGCCAATGGCCCATCCAGTCCAACACTCTGTCACACAATGGCCAAAAATACCAGGTGCCCTCAGGAGGTCCAGCAGTGGGGCCAGGACACCAGAAGCCCTCCCACTGTTGCCCCCCCCCCCAAGAACCAAGAGTACAGAGCATCCCTTGCCCCAGACCAAGAGTTCATATAAGAACATAAGAAAAGCCAATGTTGGATCAGGCCAATGACCCTTCCAGTCCAACACTCTCTGTCACACAGTGGCAAAAAATACCAGGTGCCCTCAGGAGGTCCAGCAGTGGGGCCAGGACACCAGAAGCCCTCCCACTGTTGCCCCCCCCCCCAAGAACCAAGAGTACAGAGCATCCCTTGCCCCAGACCAAGAGTTCATATAAGAACATAAGAAAAGCCAATGTTGGATCAGGCCAATGACCCTTCCAGTCCAACACTCTCTGTCACACAGTGGCAAAAAATACCAGGTGCCCTCAGGAGGTCCAGCAGTGGGGCCAGGACACCAGAAGCCCTCCCACTGTTGCCCCCCCCCCAAGCACCAAGAGTACAGAGCATCCCTTGCCCCAGACTGAGAGTTCATATAAGAACATAAGAGAAGCCAATGTTGGATCAGGCCAATGGCCCATCCAGTCCAACACTCTGTCACACAGTGGCCAAAAAGACCAGGTGCCCTCAGGAGGTCCAGCAGTGGGGCCAAGACACTAGAAGCCCGCCCACTGTTGCACCCCCAAGCACCAAGAATACAGAGCATCCCTTGCCCCAGACTGAGACTCCCTATCTATCCCTTGTGGCTAATAGCCACTGATGGACCTCTGCTCCATATGCTTATCCAGTTCCCTCTTGAAGCCGTCCATGCTTGTAGCCGCCGCCACCTCCTGTAGCATTGAATTCCATGTGTGAATCACTCCTCTCTGCCTCCAGGGCAGGTTGCACTGGGGTGGGCTTCGCACTGGCCTTTCTCTCCCCTCCCCCACTGCCCTTCTGAGGTGAAAGACCCTGCCCTCTCAGCCTCGATGGTCACAGAAGGGCCGGCACCATGGAGCAGCACTGGAAGCACAGTGGGGGCGGTGGTGGTGGGGCGCACGCCACAGTCTGTCCTGGCCAGTCTTCACCCCCCCCCGGTCACTTTTCCCCTTCGGGCTGCCAGTTTGGTGTAGTGGTTAAGTGCGCGGACTGTAATCTGGGAGAACCAGGTTTGATTCCCCACTCCTCCACTTGCACCTGGCTGGATGACCTTGGGCAAGCCGTAGTTCTGATAAGAGCTGTCCTTGAAAAAGAACAGTTTCTGTCAAGAGCTCTCTCAGCCCCACCTACCTCACAGGGTGTCTGTTGTGGGGGAGGGAAGGGAAAAGGAGTTTGTGAGCCGCTCTGAGACATCTTTGGGTAGTGAAGGGCGGGGGTATAAATCCAATCTCTTCTTCTTCTTCTTAACACTACATCCCTCTCTTCAAAGAATGCTGCTGTGTCAGCGGACATCCTAATATTCCTTGCATACATTCAGTATTCTAATATACTATTCTGAAATAATAATAATGTTGATAATAATAATAATAATCTTTCGATTTATTAATCGCTCAATCCTGCAGAGCTTGCTGGCTCTGAGCGATTTAGTTACTCAAATACACATGGGACTAACAATGTTTCAAGGGGTAAGGGAGGACAACATATAATCTTTAAATCACACATGTTTGCAGCCGACGGGGAGTCTGTTCAGCTGTAGGGTCAGACATGTTCCAACGGCATTTTTCTCTCGGCGTGGCTTGATGTCGTCAGCTTTCTCCGGACTGCTTCACGTTGCAGCGCAGCACTGCCACCGCCTGGCTGGACGGCCCATTACAGGCTTGCTTGTTGCCAAAGAGTTCTTTCTAGGCTTTCGGTCTTATGCGCTGGACATTCCGTTCGCCGGCTAACACTTTCCCCACTGGGGGGTTTAGTATGCCCACCCTCTCTAAGGAGTGGTACCCATTTTATCTACTTGCCGAAGCTTTCGAACCGTTGGGTGGACGGCGAGCTGGGGACATGGCTGGTAGCTCACACCAGCACGGGGCTAGAACTGACAACAGCTCTGTTCAGCTCAGATGTATTAAGAGGATTTATAGTCTTCCTTGTTGAGAATACATATATGAGAACTATAATATTCAATAAACCACTTGTATTTATTATTTAGTTATTATATAGAACTATGAACATGGCATGGCAGTACTGCACAGACATATAATGGCAGGCCCCCCGAGCAAAAACATGCCCCCCCCCCCTGAGCAAAATGTTGTTAGCTACGGGGCTGGGTGTGCAGCATAGGGGTAGAACAGAATAAAAATAAGAAGGAGGATCCCACCCAGGCATATGGATGACTCTTCCCCCACTGAAGGAGAACAAAACATTGGAACTTACCTGAAGGTTTCTTCTCTTCAGTAAGGCGAAGTCGTCCACATCCCACCCAAAGCAAAACAAAACAGAATAAAATCTAGTCGAACGTTAAATCTGTTATGGCGCTGGGCTATACTAAGACTGGAGCGGGTCAGCCTCACTCTGAGTCTACACAAATTTGCATGGCCCCGCCTGGAGTGAGAGGAGGCGAGACCCAACCATTTTGGATGACTTCGCCCCACTGAAGAGAAGAAACCTTCAGGTAAGCTCCAATGTTTCGTTCTCCTAACCCTCAGCATGGTGCTTGCCTGCCTGGACGCAGATACCCCCAGAGCCCATCAGGGTGGAGTTCTCTGCCCCTGTGCTTCCGCCTTCTCTGCCAGACCCTGAGGGATCCAGCTTGACAACATAACCTGGGAAGGGCCTCTCAAAGGCAAAGGGGGCGTGCCCTACCACAGGTCCTGGTGTATCCCAGGTTGCCGTATTCACTCTGGCTTCCTGCAGCCTCCTGTGGCTCCGGCCCTTTCCTGCTGTTCTCCCCCTCCCCCCCGCTGTCTCCCAGGTCAGCCTCCATCCACTGAAGATTATCCTTGGCTCTTCCGTGGCCAATACCACCGCCTGCACTCCTTGCCCTTATTTGGCCATCTGGGACGACAGCGACCGCTGCGGTAAGGGAAGCGGATGGGCTGACGACATGTCAGCGAGTTTGACAGGAGGGAGGTTGGCCTCCTTCATTAGGGTCGCGTCGCCATGGCATGAGAGCCTCTCTTATGGCAGCTCCTGAGTGCAGGTATGGATGTTGAGCATTCAAATGGTTTGTTCCCTGTGTGGGTTCTTTGATGATAATGAAGACCGCTACTCTGACTGAATCTCTTCCCACACTCAGAGCATTCAAAAGGTTTCTCCCCTGTGTGGGTTCTTTGATGACATTGAAGACTTCCACTCCGACTGAATCTCTTTCCGCACTCTGAACATTCAAAAGGTTTCTCCCCTGTGTGGGTTCTTTGATGACATTGAAGACTTCCACTCCGACTGAATCTCTTTCCGCACTCTGAACATTCAAAAGGTTTCTCCCCTGTGTGGGTTCTTTGATGACATTGAAGACTTCCACTCCGACTGAATCTCTTTCCGCACTCTGAACATTCAAAAGGTTTCTCCCCTGTGTGGGTTCTTTGATGACATTGAAGACTTCCACTCCGACTGAATCTCTTTCCGCACTCTGAACATTCAAAAGGTTTCTCCCCTGTGTGGGTTCTTTGATGACATTGAAGACTTCCACTCCGACTGAATCTCTTTCCGCACTCTGAACATTCAAAAGGTTTCTCCCCTGTGTGGGTTCTTTGATGACACTGAAGACTTCCACTCCGACTGAATCTCTTTCCGCACTCTGAACATTCAAAAGGTTTCTCCCCTGTGTGGGTTGTTTGATGATTCTGAAGAGTGCTACTATCACTGAATCTTTTTCCACATACTGAGCATTCAAAAGGTTTTTCACCTGTGTGGGTTCTTTGATGATATTGAAGACTGCCACTCCAACGGAATCTCTTTCCGCACTCTGAACATTGAAAAGGTTTCTCTCCTGTGTGGGTTCTTTGGTGCTCCTGAAGATTGCCACTGTGACTGAATCTCTTTCCACACTCTGAGCATTCAAAAGGTTTCTCCCCTGTGTGGGTTCTTTGGTGCATCCAAAGTGTACCACTCTGACTGAATCTCTTTCCACACTCTGAGCATTCAAAAGGTTTCTCTCCTGTGTGGGTTCTCTGATGCTGCTGAAAATTGCTACTATGACTAAATGTCTTTCCACACTCTGAGCATTCAAAAGGTTTCTCCCCTGTGTGGGTTCTTCGGTGCTTCTGAAGAGAGCTACTGTCACTGAATCTCTTTCCACATACTGAGCATTCAAAAGGTTTCTCTCCTGTGTGGGTTCTCTGATGCTGATGAAAGTTGCTACTATGACTGAATGTCTTTCCACACTCTGAGCATTCAAAAGGTTTCTCCCCCGTGTGGGTTCTTTGGTGCAGTTGAAGAGTGCAACTCCGACTGAATCTCTTTCCACACTCTGAGCATTCAAAAGGTTTCTCCCCTGTGTGTGTTCTTTGGTGCCTCCAAAGAGTACCACTCTGACTGAATCTCTCTCCACACACTGAGCATTCAAAAGGTTTCTCCCCTGTGTGGGTTCTTTGGTGCAGTTGAAGACTTCCACTCCGACTGAATCTCTTTCCACACTCTGAGCATTCAAAAGGTTTCTCCCCTGCGTGGGTTCTTCGGTGCTTCTGAAGAGTGCTACTGTCACTGAATCTCTTTCCACACACTGAGCATTCAAAAGGTTCCTCACCTCTATGTATTCTTCGGTACACAAGGAGCTGTGATGTATTTCTGAAGTACTTTCGGCATTTAATGGCTTTACATGCCTTCATTATCCTCCGCTTTGCAAAACGTACATTATGCTGTCTGCCATCTCTCTTCTCAATCATACCGCTGCCTTTGTTTCCCTTAGGTCTCCCTCGATTCCTGACGTTTTCTTTCAAGTCTTCATATTTAACTCTATATGGCCTTCGCTGATCAAGTTCCATGCCCTCCTCATTCCTCTGATCATCCTCTGCTGGAATAGATAGAGAGATCCTGTTAGCACCTGGGCAGGCTGGGAAGGTCCAAAGGCATATTATGTGACTGCAGGAGGAAAGGATTGATGGTCCTTTGGCCTCGTCCAGCTTGGCTGAACTTTACCACTCCTCCACCTTTCTCCAAAATATCTAGCATTTAAGGATGCCTCACCCCTCAAGAACTACAGCTCAGCTCTAGCCAAAAAGGAGTTTCTGAGACTCCAGATTTCAGGCTCCCCGGTTTGGTGTAGTGGTTAAGTGCGCGGACTCTAATCTGGGAGAACCGGGTTTGATTCCCCACTCCTCCACTTGCACCTGGCTGGATGACCTTGGGCAAGCCGTAGCTCTGATAAGAGCTGTCCTTGAAAAAGAGCAGTTTCTGTCAGAGCTCTCTCAGCCCCACCTACCTCACAGGGTGTCTGTTGTGGGGAGGGGAAGGGAAGGGAATTTGTAAGGAACTCTGAGACTCCTTTGGGTAGCGAAGGGCGGGGTATAAATCCAATCTCTTCTCTTCTTCTCCCTCCCTACCCAGTGGACTATATGATTGTACCAAACCAAATGTTGCTCAGAAGAGAATCAGGACACACACACACCCCGGCTATTCCTTGCCTGTTCCCTTTACATAACTGTGAAGGATACTCACTCTCAGCCAGTTCCTCTGGGAAGGAAATATGCTCTTGGGATCCTCCTGAGAAACTCTCCAGCTTTTCTTCGAGTGGAAGGTTGTTGTCTGTCTGCACCACAGTCTCTCTTATACTTCTGGCTTCTTTCACAGGGAGAGAGAGAGAGAGAGAGAAAGTGATCGTTCTCATATGGGCAAGGAAAGATATTCAAAAGTAAAAATTCTTCTGGAAGCACGGAACTATGGTGGAGTCGAAAGCCCACCATCCCAATCAGTACAAGGGGAATGGGACTCTTTGGCCAGGTGTTCAGCTCCCTCCTCAGCAGTGCTTGAGGGCAGTACAAGGGAATTCTGTTTGCAAAAAGGCTTACAGCTGGAATACAGCTGAATTCCGGATGACCAGACCTGACGGAAGGCGGAGCGAATGCAGGACGCGGGACGCAGGCAAAGTGGACGCAGGACGGCTGGAGCCGGAAGGACGTGAGCCGGAAGCTGCAGCCGGAAGGGCGTTCGCGCACAAAAACAAAACAAAACACCGAGCCTCCGGAAGAAGGTCGCCAGGTAACCGGAAGATGCCAGAGACAACAACAACATTCGGAGCCAGCCGGGAAGAGAGAATGCGCTGCCAACAGGGTGCTGATAGGGAGTCCCTCCCCTTGTGAAATGTGGCCCTAGGTAGGTTTAATCACTACTATATAGTAGTAAGTCTGTAAACCACTCTGAGACCCATTAGGGGTTATGGGCGGTATATAAGTATCATGTAAATAAATAAATAAATAAATTTGCAGATGCGGCTTAAGGGAAGTTGAAACTATCTCGCGTATGTTCCTCAGGTGTCCCTGGTACAAGGAAGCTATTGTAAAAACTAAATCCTGATATGACAGAATCTGATTATGTAAACTATTTGCTGTCAGATGAAAATCAGTCTACCTCTAAAGCGGTTGCCAAATTCTGTACCGCCTGCTGCTGTATTCGAAAGGCCCGCTAAATCAGGTTTTAGTGCTAAGCTGATCTGCTGACCAATGTTCCCTCCAAGCTGTGGAGTCTTGTGAGCAAAAATTTTACTTTGTGAGCCACTGGCATTAGTGGCATAAGTGAGTGGTTTGGCGGCTGCCTAAATTCCTGAGCTAAGGCAAAAATGTGTGAGCTGGAGGCTAAAAAACTGTGAGCTAGCTCACACTAACTCAGCTTAGAGGGAACACTGCTGCTGACCTATATTTTATGTAATATTTATTTGTTTCTCCCCTGTTTCTCCCCTTATTTGTTGTTACTTTTAATGTATTTTTATATATCCTTTGTATTTATTCTAGCTATTTTATTGCTGTAGTCAGTATGTTTTTCAATGTCAGTGTGACTCTGTTGCTTTACTGGCTGGATGCCGTAATAAACTGTCTGTCTGTCTAACTCTGAGGCAAAGCACCCTAGTTCCCCCAAGGGGTTAAGGCGATTATTAAGTGGCCTGGTTTGAATTGCAGGTGTTCAGTATCCTGAACTAACACCCTCATCTTTTTCAAGGCCAGACTCCAGAATGTGGTCATTGGTTAATCCTGAGTCCCTGTATCCAGTTGTGTAACCAGGATGGTGGGGGGATTAGGAGGGTGTTGACAGCCTCTGGAATGTTCCGTCAATCAGGACCCTTTATTGGGTCATTTGGACCACCTGACCCTAGAGAGGCAGAAAGTGTAATACAGGTATAGACCAGAAGGAAGCCAGGCTTTATACTCAAGCCAAGCTAGTACACCTTGATATTTCCTTGCTTCATCACGGTGAATAGTTTTCTGTAGAGTAACTTAGGCTACAGCTGGAATACTTATGCTGCCAACAAGGGGTGCCATCGAATACCAAGAATTTCATGTACTAGTTAGAAGGTTTGGTAGGGTTGCCAAGTACTTACAGCAATCCAGTGGGGGACACTTGCTCCCCGGCCGGAACATTATTCCTTGTAAGACACCATGCCGTCGCCAGGAAATGACACTGGGCGACGCTCCGGCAATGGGACTGAAAACTCTATGGTACCATCGAGTTTCTGGCCCCATTGCCAGAGCGTCGCCCGGCATCACTTCCTGGCGACAGCATGGTGCAGCACGTCTGTTGTCCCCGCAGGAATGATCCTGCGAAGATGTCTTCGTCCCCCGCCGAATCACGGTAAGTACTTGGGAAGCCTGAGTTTTGGTTTTCTCCGTTTTCGGTTGCTGAGCTGCAGAAACTGTGCTGTTTAGAGATGTCTTACTTTTAAATCTTTAACAAACCTTTATATCTGCTTTACTTGTCTACCGTTTCTCTTTTGAGGCACTTTAAGTTTCTCTTATGGAAGGAAGATGAGATATGAATATTTTAAGTAATGGGCGAAATTGCCCTCCAGAAATTCCTGTAATCTCCTTTTAGAGGCACGAAAGCTAATGGACATTGAGTGCCACAAATGATCTCTGTGCTGTGTGAAGAAGTATTTAATTATTTTCCTGACCAGAACTCTCTACCCATCAAATTCACAGTGTGCACCTATCGTACCCGGGCACAACGAGTCCTTACCACAAGAGAGGGCATCTTGGGCATGCTCCTGGGCCTGTGCCCCCTGCCCTTGTTCCAAGGAAGCTCCTTCCACCTCAGGGAATGTAGCTTCTGTCTTCATGGATGGTGCCCACATCTGAAACAGCAGCGAGGGAGAGGGGTAAGAGATGGAATGGAAAAGAGACCAAGGAATGGATCCTGCCCCACTCCCAGACTCTGCACCCTTCCATCAGCAGACCTGCCAGGTTATCTGGAGGGATCAGAAATTCTCTTGTAGAAGAAGAAGAAGAAGAAGAGATTGGATTTATACCCCGCCCTTCACTACCCGAAGGATTCTCAGAGCAGCTTACAATCTCGTTTACCTTCCCCTCCCCACAACAGAACCCTTTGAGGTAGGTGGGGCTGAGAAAGCTCTGAGAGAACTGCTTTTGAGAGAACAGCTCTGAAAGAACTTGTAACTGACCCAAAGTCACACCAGCAGCTGCATGTGGAGATGTTGGGATTCAAACCCGGTCCTCCCAGATTAGAGTTCACGTTCCTAACCACTACACCAAACTGGCTCTCATAGAAGACGCTGCTGAAGGAGGCTGTTAAATCTCCCACTTGGAGGATTAATAAATATATCTCAGGGATACTCTAGGACAAGGCCAGATATCATTGCTTGAATTGGACATATCTAGACAGAATATCCCCTCACCTGTTCTGCCTGCCTCTTCTCCTCTGCCTGACTCAGGAGGAAACCTTCCGCCAGGGCCACCGCCTGGGAACTGGTCTCTGGCCCGCATCCTCTGACCCAGCACTGCATAACCTGGGGCAGGAGAGTCAGGAACTGCTCCAGGATCACCAGGTCCAGGATCTGCTTCTTGGTGTGTCTTTCCGGCTTCAGCCACTGGTTGCAAAGTCCACGGAGCTGGCTGCAAACCTCTTGGGGCCCATCAGCCTCACAGTAGCGAAATTGCCGGAAGAGTCGGCAATGGACATCTGAGATTGCAGTGACCTGAGGACAGATCTCTGGCACCGGGCTTTCCCAGAATTCAACACTGCTCCCAGCCTTGGTGGATTGGGGGCCTGTCCTTGCTGTCTTGCCAGTTCCCAGTCCTTCTGGTTTCTGCTCTTCCATCTCTTTCCCCTTCTCTTGGGTCACCTCTGACTGCGTAAAGATGCCTTCAGTCACTTGGCTATGAAGAGAGGCTTCTCTCTGGGGCGGAAGGAGAGGCACAAAAAGTCACATGGGAAATAAAGGGAATGGAGATACACCACTGAGCATCACAAACCTTCATATGCTCAGGAAACACATGAGAATTGCCCTGGTGGACAATTGGTATGGCTCTTTTGGTTTGTAGACCAGGGTTAACATCATTTTTCTATATTACAAACCAAGCTATTTTAGATATTTCCCCGCGTTGGAGGTTAGGAGTCTGGGTGTGCTCCTGGATTCCTCCTTAACCATGGAGGCCCAGGTGGCAGCCACTGCCAAGTCGGCCTTTTAACATCTGCGGCTGGTTCAGCAGTTGGTCCCCTTCCTCAATCGCGATGACCTGGCTATGGTGATCCATGCGACCGTCACCTCGAGATTAGACGACTGTAACGCTTTCTACATGGGGCTGCCTTTGTTGCAAATCCGGAAGCTGCAGTTAGTGCAGAATGCGGCGGCCAGGCTTCTGATGGGTCTCCCTAGATGGGAGCATATCCGACCTATGCTGAAAGCGCTGCACTGGCTGCCT